TAAATCATAGAAATCACGTAAAAGAATGTGTTCTAAAGTCTTTGCCTGTAGGTTTGAAATATGAAGTTCATGGGCTTTGATTTGCTATTTGTTCCAACTACCCTTCTGGCAAATGCTTAAATATTTAATGTAGCATTGAAGGAAAGATTTTTTTGTCTTTAATATCTTTACATTTCAAATCTTCCTGGCTTAAGCATATCCATGAAAGCAAATGTTTCTAGTCAGTATTCTCCCCCCACCCCCCAAAAAATGGAAGATTCTTGCATTCTCTTCAAAACCTTGAAACCAAACTAAAATGTATTTTTCAGAGCTATTTCTAACCTCCTACATGTGAGAGAAGTTTGGCAGGTTGGGAGGTCACATGGTATAGGAAAAAAAGAACTAAACCAGGGAATGAACAGGCCTAACTGTTTGACAAGTTCTTTCTGGGCCTCTTTCTCAGTTTCAAACCATGTGGATTGCCCTTGATGATCCCAAAAGTATCCCACTCAATCAGTCACTCTGTGACTTAGATTGAGATTCTGGTGTTTTTTTTTTTAATTAAAAAATATATATATATACATATATATATATAAATTTATTTTTATGTGGTGCTGAGGATCTAACCCAGTGCCTCAGTCATGGTAGGCAGGTGCTGTACCACTGAGCTACAACCACAGCCCCAGGATGAGATTCTTTCTAGTTCTTATTGGAAAGAGCAAATAGAATTAATCTTTCTGTTCAGCACAGCTGTATTCAGGAGGTTACTCCATTATTTTGGGAAATGTTGAGGGTATTTTCTTTGGAACTGTCACTCACAAGATAACAAGAAAGTCAAGGTTACTTCATGTACAAATGTCTAAATAATTATCATAATTTGTTATCCCTCTGCCACCACTCATTATGAAAAATTAACCAGACATTTAAGAGAGGGCACATTTGAACAATCCCCATATCACATGACATGTTGGATGCTGAAAGCCACTGGTTGATTTTCCTTTCCGGGTAGTTCAGTGAATCTTTCATTTTCTACAAGTAATCAACTTAGTGTTACCACAGCATAACAAGCTGAGCTTATTTGGATGATAGAAGGAATGTCTGTTTATCCTAGTCTCTATTAGTTATAAGCTAGTTTCCTAAGAATGACTAGGAAATCTTGGTAGTTCAACTCAGATATTTGCTCTACTGATGAGTCTCCATTGATCCATCTTTTTATAGTAAGAATTTGCTTTTCATTGTTAGAAGAGGAATGAATCTAAAGGAGTGAATACAAATAATGTGTCTGTTGACTTATTTCTAGGATCTTCCTTAGGCAATTGATTATAAAGACTACAATTCACATGTCACCATGAAAATGCTTGGGATCAGTGTTTGGGTTTATAGGTACCATCAGTAATGTCTACAAGAGAATATTTGTTCTTTCATATGAGTCACTGGTAGACACTTCAAAAACTACTGAAGCTGGGCACAGTGGCACATGCCTGTAATCGCAGCGGCTCGGGAGGTTGAGGCAAGAGGATCCTGAGTTCAAAGCCAGCCTCAGCAAAACCGAGGAGCTAAGCATCTCAGTGAGACCCTGTCTCTAAATAAAATAAAAAATAGGGCTGGGGATGTGGCTCAGTGATTGAGTGCCCCTGAGAGTTCAGTCCCCAGTATATATAAAAACAAAACAAAACAAAACAAAAACTATTGATGGTAACACTTCTAGGCAGAAACTTTTTCTTCTGCTCAGCATTAATTATATATCCAGTGTTCACTTCAGCAGCACTACATATACTAAAATCATGATACAGAGAAGATTAGCATGGCCCCTGCACAAGGACAACACACAAATTCCTGTAGCGTTACATACTAAAAAAAAAGTTATAGGAATAAGAGAGGTAAATAGGGAGCCTACATCCTGGGAACAAATCTTTACTCCTCACACTTCAGATAGAGCCCTAATATCCAGAGTATACAAAGAACTCAAAAATTAGACAATAAGATAACAAATAACCCAATCAACAAATGGGCCAAGGACCTGAACAGACACTTCTCAGAGGAGGACATACAATCAATCAACAAGTACATGAAAAAATGCTCACCATCTCTAGCAGTCAGAGAAATGCAAATCAAAACCACCCTAAGATACCATCTCACTCCAGTAAGATTGGCAGCCATTATGAAGTCAAACAGCAACAAGTGCTGGCCAGGATGTGGGGAAAAGGGTACACTTGTACATTGCTGGTGGGACTGCAAATTGGTGCAGCCAATTTGGAAAGCAGTATGGAGATTTCTTGGAAAGCTGGGAATGGAACCACCATTTGACCCAGCTATTCCCCTTCTCGGTCTATTCCCTAAAGACCTAAAAAGAGCATGCTACAGGGACACTGCTACATCGATGTTCATAGCAGCACAATTCACAATAGCAAGACTGTGGAACCAACCTAGATGCCCTTCAATAGACGAATGGATAAAAAAAAATGTGGCATTTATACACAATGGAGTATTACTCTGCATTAAAAAATGACAAAATCATAGAATTTGCAGGGAAATGGATGGCATTAGAGCAGATTATGCTAAGTGAAGCTAGCCAATCCCTAAAAAACAAATGCCAAATGTCTTCTTTGATATAAGGAGAGTAACTGGGAACACAGTAGGGACGAAGAGCATGAGAAGAAGATTAACATTAAACAGGGATGAGAGGTGGGAGGGAAAGGGAGAGAGAAGGGAAATTGCATGGAAATGGAAGGAGACCCTCAGGGTTATACAAAATTACATACAAGAGGAAGTGAGGGGAAAGGGAAAAATAATACAAGGGGGAGAAATGAATGACAGTAGAGGGGGTAGAGAGAGAAGAGGGGAGGGGAGGGGAGGGGAGGGGGGATAGTAGAGGATAGGAAAGGCAGCAGAATACAACAGACACTAGTATGGCAATATGTAAATCAATGGATGTGTAACTGATGTGATTCTGCAATCTGTATACGGGGTAAAAATGGGAGTTCATAACCCACTTGAATCAAAGTGTGAAATATGATATATCAAGAACTATGTAATGTTTTGAGCAACCAACAATAAAAAATTAAAAAAAAAAGTTATAGGGCTGGGGATATGGCTCAGTTGGTAGAATGCTTGCCTCACATGCACAAAGCCTTGGGTTTGATCCCCAGCACCACCACCATAACAACAACAAAAAATATATACATCCAACTTGTAGCCATCTGTAAAGATGAATGCCATTGCTAGGTATAACTATCAGAGAGGTATCGTAGAATAATCAGTACTGGAGAGGACATTGAAAATCATCTCATACAGGTCTGTACCCTCTTATATCACAACAGTTCTTAATTGTGGCTTATGTAGAAGAAGTGACTTATGATTACATGTGGCTCATGTATATCTAAGTCTAACTTGTTTGAAGAGGTAACTTTGAACAAGGATTAGAGATCATTACAAATCAAAGTCTAGTGATTCCTTCTCTTCTATGCTCCAGCAGTGCCTAGTCCCATCATAGATTCTATCTTTTCAGCCACCTGAGGGTCAAGTTCAGCAAGAACATGGAGGTTGGGAGTGATGGGGGTGATAGAGTCAGAGCTGTGTCATTCAGTATCATTGAAGAGGTCAGTAACCCTGAGAATACAGCCATGAGTACATTTGGCCAAGGTAGGACTTCCCCTACGGGAATGTCCCCATGGGTTAGGAAAGAACTGGGTCCTCTCTGTGTACTTCCAAGAAGAGGGTAGGAACAGAGGGGCCTGAGCTTTTGGAAGCTCAGTCTTGTGACCTGGCACCATAGGAGGCCATCTGCTGGGTCATTCTGAGGCAGTCACAAGATGCTGTGTGATACAGTTTTATGAAAGCACATTCTTTTCTCTCCTATCATAGTTCACACTCAAGAGCCGTTTCCCATCATCTGTTGAGCCCCTCTAGGTGGACAGCCCTGACTAATCTGGAGGGCTGTTCCATCTGGGTCATTTGTGGCCCACTTGAAAACTGACTTAAAAGGCTGCCAACCTGCCTATACAAGTGGTTTGAAAAGTTTTGAAGATAGTGGGAAAACCCTGGAAAGTATTTGGAATAGGCATAATTATAACTCTGCCACAGAAAAAGCAGACTGTCTTGGGTCATGCCTAGCCCCTCATTCGAAAAAAAAAAAAAAAAAAATAAGTACTCCTTAGTGGCCAAAGAAGTTGTGGTTTTGAGTTGCTCACTATTTCTAGAAACTTCATAAAGTTAATCCAGAAGTAACAGGGTGGAGACCAAGAAAGGAAACATGCTATTTTATGGTGCTTTTAGCAAAGATAAAGAATTTGCCTCAGGCTAGGGGCAGTGCAATAGTGGCTTCAGAGCTTTGCCCCACTCAAGCTGTGGGGGCTGGCTGGGGCAAGCAGGCTTCACCAGCATCAGACAGCAAGAGGGCATCCTGGAGGACAGGTCAATTGCAGTCATGCTGATGCACAATTCCTGTCTCATCCTCCCTATTCTCCTTTCTCCTCTTTATTCAAACTGACAAGTTTCTCTTGAGCTTCTGTTATACATGCAAACCACTGTCAAGTTCCAGTTGCCCCTTTCTAACTGGTTTTCCTTGCAATCCCTGAATATAAATCTTCATTCATTGGTCTTCCCTCTTGTTGATTACATTTGATCACTTGGCTTTTTCTTTTTACTTTAGAGGAGTGGGAAAGCAGCTATACTAGTAGTGCAAAATGGATTTATGTTTGAATCAAGTACTATTACATTACATGTTTCTGAAGCATAAGTACCAAATGAAATGTTGCAGAGATTAACATATACTATCTCATGACAGGTAAAGAGTAACCTAGAACTTTGGGAATATAGAAAATCCATCCTGAGAATAAATCAGGTGCCTTGGTCCTGGTTGTAAACCAGTTACTAATGTGTGACTTTTCCTATATAGACACATGGCCCTCTCTAGAGAATCTCTAAAGACTTCAACAGTTCAGATCCCTGAACTGGTGCATAATTACATACTGGTATTTGAAGATTATGGCATGCAATGATACGTTCTGTCTCCCTCACAGAGTGAAGGCTGCGCAAATGGAGCTAGGACAGCAAATCCTGGCAGATTTCGAAGAGGCATTTCCTTCCCAGGGTACCAAGGTATTCTTTTGCATTTTCCCTCCAATCTTTAGATATTGTTATCACCCTCCCCTAGTATACTCACTATAAATTATTTATTTATCATTCTAAAGTGTTTATGGGCAATAGCAAATTTGTCTAATGGAAAGTTTAAGGTAATGAGACCATCATTGATTTTAAAGATCCCTAAGTGATATGTCTTTCTGTTGTCAAAAAGTGAGGATATGTTTGGGTTTAATTTAATGTGTGTCAAACCCTATCTTGTCTGCCTGTAAATTCCTTTTTCTCATGGCTGTGTTTTAAAAGAATATTTTCAAGCTACGATGTTTTTTAGAATTATTACATAACTTATTGGTTTCAGGTTGGTAAAAAGACAACTGGGAGGAATATCCAGGGGCTTATGTAACTCTCAGAGTGACATAGTTAGAAGACTCACTTTTGATGATCATAAGCCTGTTTTTTGAAACTAATGCCCAACATTGCTCACTGGTAGTGTAGTTGTTAGTGTTGTGTCTGTGAAGCACATGAGATTTTACTTGTGAACAATTGGTTACATTTCTCCTGTACAAGCTTTCCCTTACTTGGTTGTCACTGTGCTGGGGTAACTGCTGTTAGTTCCATCCTTCACATTGTAGCAGATGTCACGTTAATGCTTTGCATGTGTCGGCGAGGGCAGAATCTTCAGAAGCTTTTATTCTCTATTATTTGAGCTATTCTGAGGGGAAAAAATTTGTTCAAGGCAGAAATGAACTGGGCACATGGGCCAGCAGCATTCCTTGCTGTGCTTTGTGGGTGGAGATGGGGATATACATCCACTTATTGAGCCAAGGAGTGTTTCCTGGATCAGCTCTATAATTCAATAACCGGAAATATCTTAATTATTTTTTCTTTGTGCTCCATAAAAGAAACTTAGGAAGTAGGCTGGGAGTAGCTGTCCTTGCTTTGGTAAATTGCTTTCTATAGGAAACCTGCTCCTAATTTTAATAGTTTGTGACCAGCTGCTAACAATTGGATACTTATTTGTAAAGCACTTTTCTTTGAGAACCTCATCTTCCTTAGTCACCTGATGTAATTCAAGGAGGGAGTAAATGTTGGAACACCACTATTCCTATTGACCACACAAGGAAACAGAGGTCATAGAGGTAAAAAGGATTTTAAGGATAGTCGCTGATTATGAACACTAGACTTCCTAGGCCAGTCTGCTTTCCAGCACTCTGCTGCCACATACCAATTTCAGAAGTTTCAGAAGCCCATCTGTATTAGTTAACCACAACCTACTTTATATCTTTTTTTTCCCAGATCATACCAGGCAAATGAATAAAATTATTTTCTTTAACAATTTGCCTTTTCTCTGGCTCAGTGACTTAAAAGTTTTTTTGTTTTTTTTGAAAATCTATTTTTAAAATAGGGTTTGACACAGCATTTTTATCTTTGGTAATAGGGATTGAACCCAGGGGCACCCTCTACCACTGAGCTACATCCCCAGCCTTTTATATTTTTTATTTTGTGATGGGGTCTTGCTAAGTTGCCAGGGATATTCTTGAACTTGCCATCCTTCTGCCTCAAACTCCTGAGTCACTGGGATTTCAGGCCTGTGCACCGTGCCCAGCAACTTTTCTTAAAGGCTTTGTGCTATTCTTCTTATCTCGCAAATGGAATCAAGATGTTAAAAAAATTGTCCAAAGTAACCTAGTCAATATTTCTAAAAATGAAAAAAAATTAGAACCTGTGAACCTATAGGTTTTGGCCCTTTTGACCTCTCTATCTAGCTTTCATCTGGAAGCTAGAGTTGAGCAGTTGGTATGTTCAACAGGCCACATAATAGACAATAATTATGGAGCAGGTCACATTTTAACAATTTAGGTCTCAGGCAGTTTATGTGACCCTTTTGAAACACTTGAACTTCAGTTGAGATGGATAGAATGGACAGAATTGACAAAAATAAATGATAACGATCTGAAAGAACCTTACTGATCACCTAATTCAAGTCGATTATTTTTCAAATGAGGTTGAATAACTTCTCAGAGCTACATGGCTGTTTAACCAAGCCAAGAGTAGTTTTCATGTATTCTTTGTGGTCCACAGTCAACCACATTCATTCAGTGATTCACCATACAAAAAGGTGGTGAGACCAAATTTCCTTAGGTAATAACAAAGACCTTCCATTGTAATGTATCATTATTGCTTCCCGATCTTCCACTGTTGTTTTCAGGTCAAGGGACCTACATCACAGTATTTTTACCTTTGGCTGCATATATTAGACTGTCAGTGAAATAAGTCTGGTGGTTTGGAATCTGTTTTTAAGTTTTAAAATGACCACACAGCTTGGCAAAAGTATGACACTTCAACAAGAATCCCAGAGGTGGGAAGCAGGGAAAAGTGGCACATATGGAGTGACACTGGTGTCATTATGACTTTTAGGCCTCTTCAGTAGTCTCTGACATCAGAGACTGCTGTCATTCTGACTTTTTAGGTCCTTTCAGTTTGAGTATTCAGAAACTAAAATTTCCTATGATCCTTGCTGGCCCTGTTTTCCAAAATATCTCATTGCTGATTCACAGGATAGTTTTTATGTTGGCTACTTCAAGACTAGCTTAATGATTCTTTCATCGAGGAATAAGTAACTAATATCTATCTACAGTAGAAAGAATCAGTGTCCAGGGAGTGGGAGTAATAACAACAAGAGAGAAACAAGAAGTAGCAGCTGTCAGAAACTATGAGATTTAATGATTGTTTCTAGTATTTGAATTGCTGTGTGTTGTTTGTTTTGCCAGAGGCCAGGAGGACCCAGTAACGTCCTGCGAGATGCATGTCTGGTTGCTAATATTTTGGACCCCAAAATCAAGCAAGAAATCATTAAGAAGTTTATTAAACAACATCTGTCAGAGTATCTAGTACTTTTTCAAGAAAATCAAGATGTAAGTATTGACCAGATGAGGTCAGAGTTAACACTTGAATTTTATTGAAAAATGAATGCAGCCAAATGTGTTGATTGATACTTTATTAGTACTATGACCTGTTGAACCTTGAATCCTAGGGACTGACTTTATAGTTCAATGGTTCTTAACCATTTTTGAGGTCACTAACCATTTGGATAAATTAATAAAAGCTGTAGATCTTCTTCCCAGAAAAGTGCACCAATGTATAAAACTTTATGTACACCAGGGGTGGTGGTGCATGCCTGTATTCCCAGTGGCCAGGGAGGCTGAGGCAGGAGGATCAGGAGTTCAAATCTAGCCTCAGTAAAAGCAAGGCGCTAAGCAACTCAGTGACACCCTGTCTCTAAAATACAAAATAGGGCTGGGGAATGTGGCTCGGTGGTTGAGTGCCCCTGAGTTCAGTCCCTGGTACCCTCCCCGAGGCCCCAACCTTTCCCCCCCAAAAAAACTTTATGTACAGTTTCAGGAAATTTGCAAAACCCTAAAGCCCAATTACAGACTTCAGGTTAAGAATCTCTGGACCAAGTAAATATGGTAGCATATATTCTTTCAAATGGTGAGGAATACAGAATGGCTGTCATTCTCTTTGTTCTACGTTTTTGCTTTTTTCCCTCAAACTGTCAATACTACATCTAAGCACTGGAGTGTTTTTTGTTTCTTCCCTTCATGAGGTTGCCTGGCTAGACAAAATTGATAGACGCTACGCCTGGGTCAAACGCCAGCTTGTGGACTATGAAGAGAAATATGGCCGAATGTTTCCACGGGAATGGTATATGACTGAGAGGATTGCAGTAGAATTCTGCCATGTGACAAGGTATATTCCAGCTCTTTACTGGTGCTGTTTCTAATTGAACTTTCAAAATCAGTTTCCCACTTTGGTTTCATATTGTCCTGTGGATTGGGTACCAATTCCAGACTCTACCAGATATAGCAACCCTTAGCTCCCAACTTGGCTGCAAGTTTTCCTGTTGCCTAGTGCTTGCCTCAAACAGCATACCTTCTGTCCTTTACCAACTCTGGACTCATCAACTAAGTTTACCTATACATTTCCTTCTGTTTCTGTATTATGTATAATAGCCTTCAGTGTACATGTTCATCATCATGTAGATTTTGTGACTTGTTAGGTAGATAGTTCCATAGAGACAGAAGTAGTATCTACTTTAAGGACATGACAGTCACTCAGGAAATACTTGTTGAATGAATTTCCCTAATACAATGTTTATAGTCTATGATTGATAATATTGGCATCTGAGTGTTCTAAGCATTTTAAAGCTCTCTCTGCATTACCCATGAGTATAGCCCAGACTACATAGTCCTTTATTTTGAAGAATTAGAGCCCAGCAAGGTTAGATCAGTGTGTCCATGACAAATGTAAAACTAGAACCAAGCTTTCTTATTCTTTGTTTGTACATATACAACAACAGTGGTGGTAACTGGTTTTATTAGCTATATATTCCCATCTAACAGTACTAATTACATTGTCTATAGGTTAATAAGAGGGGAAAAAAGCCAGATCTAAACATAACTCAGTGACCTTAGTATAATTTATGGTAGTCTTTTTTCTTAAAATCAGAGAAAGTACAGTCAAAATGGATGCTTTAAACACATTATAGGGGGAAAATGTTTTAAGTCACATTGGCTTTTTTAACCATTTTGGGAGCCATTTTAGAGTCACAGCAAAATTGGGCACATAGTACAGAGATTTACCTGCCTCTCTGCACATGTAACTTTGCCTGTTATCAACATCCCCCACCAGAATAGTATGTTTGTTACAATGGAGGAACCTACATTGATACATCATCCTCATCCATTGGCCATAGTTTAAACAGGGTTCACTTTTAGTGTTGCACATTCTGTCTGGCTATTGTTTTAAGAAACACATTTACTATCATAGATTCAGACCATAGTATTTAATAAAATACAGTATTGATTCAGGGTTGATTGGGGTTGTCACCTTCTAAATCCCAATTAGCAAAGAAAGGGTAAATTCCTTGAAAAATTGTTTATTAATTCTCTTTCACCTACAGTCAGCAGACTTGCAAACTAATTCTGTAAAAGGTGAATCCTTATGAGACTGGAAGTGAACTAAAGCCAACAAGTCTCTGTGGGCGTTAGTACCTGCTATTGTTGTCTCAGCTAATGGCAGGGCTTCTGCCAAGCTTTTATTGTTAGAATTTTGGCTCAAGTCCTACAGATACATCATTCTCAAATAAACTCAGAGGCGCTTCATTTTTTATTTTGGCATTTAGTTGTGTGGGAAGAGGATGACAGTTTAGTACTTACTAAGAACTCTCATTGTCACTGTTCCCTAATAACCTACATTCTAAAACAGAATGCCCAAGTAAGCTGCACATAAGCTTCACAGGCAGGAACCACCAAAGCATATACGTTCACCTTTCACATGGGTGTTCCAGTATCTCATGGGTCCCTGCTATATGTGCAGAGATGATTATTGAGCTCTCTGGAAGACAGATTTATAATTGAGTAATTCATGAATTGTTAAATAATGTATATATGCATTTTAGTAAAATGCCAAAGTACCATGTATATTATTAGCAAGTTATTGAGAAGGTTAAAGATCTAAACATAGTAGTCACCATGTAGACAAATTAGCATCCATAATCCTGGAGTTTTCTCTTTTTTTACTGGTGCATAATTTCACTTTAAAATTCTTAGGAGTCCATACACTAGTCTCCCCCTAATTGTGGTTTTACTTGCCATGGAAAATTCTGGAAATAAATAATCCAGAAGTTTTAAATAACTTTTCTTACAGCATATTATTATAATTGTTCTGTTTTATTAGGAGTTGTTGTTAATCTCTTACTCTGCCTAATTTATAAATTAAACCTTACCATAGATATGTAAGTATAAGAAAAAACAGTACATGTAGGGTCCAGTACTATTCACAGTTTTAGGCATCCAAGAAATATATTGGAATGTGAAGGACTATTGAATATCTGTTCCTCAGTCATTAGACTAAGTTGATAATAGACCTCACAGTTTGACATGATAATATACATTTTTTTCTGAATATAAGCTGTTTACCTCCTCAATCTTGAATGATCAGTTTGTTTGACATTTTTATCTCTTCATTTTGAAGGGCAGAACTTGCCAAAATCATGCGTGCCAGAGCTAAGGAAATTGAGGTGAAATTACTTCTTTTTGCTATTCAGAGAACGACTAACTTTGAAGGGTTTCTTGCAAAACGCTTCTCCGGCTGCACCCTGACAGATGGAACCCTGGTAAGACTTTCCTGAGGGAGGCTGGACTGGAACATGGATGGCTGGGGTGGCTGGGCTTCACTTTCATCCTTTGGCTCCTGGGCCCAAGCCATCCTTCCACCTCAGTATCCCAAGAAGCTGGGACTAAGGCACACCATCATGTCTGCTTTAATTTTTTAAATGAGGAAATGGGCCAGATCAGTGATTTTCAAACCATCCTTCCAACAATATCTGACGTGGAATCCAAACACAATAATAGCTAATATTTTTTGAACATCCACTGTGCACCCCACACTGTTCTAGGGGTATTTACCTGCAGCCAGTCTCTGCTCCATCTACTGTACGAGGTACATGCTATACTCATTTGTCTCTTATCCATGGTCAGTGAGCTCATATGCAAAACCATAAAAACTTAGCTGCTTTGATCAAAGGCAGAGCAAGGGTAGGAAGTTGGAGCTGGTGTCCTGTTCACTCATTCACCCCTCACCTCCATTAGCTTCTCTAACTCTCAGCCTTTTAGTCCTAAGATTCTGGGACTCCCCTCCTTGTCCCGCAAGATCTACCTCAGAGTAGGTGAATCAGAGGTTGGTCCTCAGGGCACCAGACTGAAGAGTGGTGGTGGCAACAGCTAGGTTTTCAGGCAAGGCCACAAGGCCCTATCTGCTTGGGCTCACTCATGACTTTGTTGAAGTAAAATACAACTGGAACTGAAAAATATTCTTTCTATACTTAATAAATAGAAGCTTTATAATACTCTTCTTCATACTAACTTATGTTCAAAATTGACTTATTTTTTAGTATCAAGAGAAAAAATAGTTCACAAACAGGTAAAAATGTCTTCAAAGAAAATTCAAGTCACTGAAGAAATTAGCTAACAGAAACACCCTTTAGGGAAGTGCATGCATCTCTCCTGAGAAGTATGTGGTTGGCCCTAGCACCTGCCTGATTTCCCCATGTTAACCACCTTCTCTGCCCTACTCAAGCCAGGTTTCTGTACTGTGTTCAAGCAGAGACTTAGGCAGCGCTGAGTTCAGCTCTACATTGAGCTGCTTGAAAACAGGGAGGTTCAAGCATTGAGTATGAACACTGGCCACTAGAAGCCCCTGAGCTCCCATGGCCTCTGGGAAGAGCTGGTAAAGCATAAGGATAGGCTCTGTGCACCAGTAATTCAGCTAACTAGACAGGAAATAGGCTTTAACTAAGATGCTTGAATACATTGTTGTGTGTGTATTGTTGTGTGCAATTCTTCTTCTCGGTTGGCTGGAGGCTTCTGGTGATTTTGTTTTACATTTAGAGGGGCTCTAGGATCACCTGGGAACAATAGCCCTGCAATATTTCATGACCAGGATAGCCTATAAATTTGGGTCTCCCTGGGAGATGCTATAGTTCTCACCTATCCAAGGAAATCCCCCAAAGGTCAAAAGTGGTATGTAACATGACAGGGGAGATCTCTTCTAGACAAGCCAAGGCTTGGTGAGCAGGGTAACCAGGCAGAGAAACTGAGTAGGAAAAACTGACAGGAGCTCTGCTTCAGTTTGCAAAGACAATGCTTTTTTTGTATAGCACTGTCAAAGTAGCAGTTGGCTGATTGTCAGCCATGTTCTCTCTGAAGGGGGCAGGGCTGGAGGTGCTTGTTTCTCATACTCAGCCAGGACAAAGCTCCTGGACTGGAGCCATTTCATCTCCTGGACTGGAGCCATTTCATCTCCTGGCAACTGCTGTGCCCAGGGGCAATGGCCATGATCTACTAGGAACACTTGAACTTTTCCCCCTAGTCCCTTCCTTTTTTGGTCTTCTGTGTTTGAAACTTTCTTGAAGAACTAGTTTGTAAATTTCCCTTCCCAGTTGTTCAGGTGTTGCTTTCCTCTCCCATGAGGTTTTTAAGGGAGTTTCAGGTTATAAATCCTTGGCAAGAAAATCCTTCTCAATACCATGAGTTCTTTGTTTATTATCTACATGAACAGCTGTCTTCTTCACACATTTCTCTGAATCATTGACTTATAAAGAAACTCAACTTCTTCCCCTGAACCATTTTTTTTTTTGTCCCAGTTACCATGACCCAGCAACCATTCCAAGTCCTGATAGTAGGTGCTCCACAGCATTCAAAGATTTTTTTTTTTTTTCCCTTAAAAATGAGTTTCTAGAAAGGAAGCAGAATTTCCTTCGGCCTTTTCAACTAGGCAATCCAGTTCTCCAAGAATTGACTTACTGTTGCTTGGCTGCTGGGCGATGTAAAATTTCTTACTGTAAGTGATATTCACACTGAGCCTGGTCCCTGCCATTACCTTGCTCTGGGCCATACCTTCTCCATCTGTGTTCTTCAATCCTCAGTGGCAGGGGCCTGGTAAAAGTCATGGCTACTGACCCTGCTCCCTACAGAAAGCTCAGGGAAGAAAGAGGACACCCTAAACTCCAAGTTTAGCTGCTTGGCACTCTGCCTAAAATACTTGATACTCCCTGGTCCCTTGCCTTCTCCCTGTGCTGGTTGGTTGCTTCCATAGTGGACTTTTGCTGCTTTTTTTTTTTTTTTTAATATTGGGGATTGAACCCAGGAATGCTTAACCACTGAGCCACATCCCAGCCCTTTTTATATTTTATTTTGAAGGTCTCACTAAGTTGCTTATAGCCTCACTAAGTTGCTGAGGCTGTCTTTGAAAGTATCCTCCTGCCTCAGCCTCTCCTGAATTGCTAGGATTACAGGCATGTGCCACAGTACCCGACCCATTGTAGACTCTTGAAATCCTTCTTGGCTACCAGATTTTTTTCAGGATATTGGAATAAACTTTGAAATGAACCATGGTGGTATATCTTGATACCCCTTAATATATGCCACATTTCAACGAAAGTTAGTAAATTCTTTGGAAAGTGTTCAAGGAGCAGGTAGTAAGTCAGCCAAGAATCTTGGCCAGAGATTCTGCCTTGCGGCTTCTTCCCTTGGCCATGCCACAACCTGCCAGTACCTCCATTACCCTCTTCCCTGTGTCATTCAGAACCTTTAAACCCTTGGTGACTTTGACAGTAAGATAATGAGAATGGGCTTGAGAGTGTGTCAGACTCAGCAGAAAGACCTGCCACAGCCCAGCTCCTCCCTACTGACCAGCAGGATACATCTTTTGCTATTTTTTTAGAGCTGTGACTTTGACATTTGATGACAATGTTAAAGACTAGAAGAGCTTTGAGGACAGGGCTTACTCTGTCTTTCTTGTACTGGCCCTGTCGAGCTTGATCATATCCTATGCTGCAGCTATTATTGGAACAAGGGAGCTGCCGGTGCTTCTTCCAGTTGCCTCAACTTCTGATCCTTTAGGAGGGATTCAAGATAATCTGTAAATCTAAATGCCTTGAAATTAAAAGCAAATGTCTGAATGTGGTATAACTATATCCATGTGCATTTTTAGTGACTTAATTAGATTGAAGGTGAACAAATTATATTCAACTTTCTGCTTAAAAGCAGAATAGATAGGGTTAGATTTTTATAACTGACTGAATTTGGGAGGTTGTTTTTTTTTAATAAAATAAAAAAATTCCCATTTTATACAGCTGGATTTCCCTTTCTCTTGGCCTGTGCATAAATTGCCTTTCCAAATAGAATTCTCCTTTGGCTTATAGGGGTCATTTCAATATACATGTACACTTGCCCAGTTTCAAAAATTATATTACAAATATAGAAGCTGTAGTTGCAAATTTCAACCATGCAGTTTAAAAGCATAAGAGCACTACTTAGGAAAGCTTGTGTAGAGTGCCTCCCCCAATACCTCAGCCTTCCAGCAGCCTAACCCCTGCTTTAGGAATTCTATAAGGAACTGACAGGCAGGGTTACCAGTTCTGCCCCAGTGCCATGGCACATGGAAATAGCTTTCCCTTACCTGATAAGCTCCCTTCAGTGTCCAAAAACATTTTGCAAATGGTTTCTTTTTCTGGGTGGGTGGTACTGGGGATTGAACTCAGGGGCACTCGACCACTGAGCCACATCCCCAGCCCTGTTTTGTATTTTATTTAGAGACCGGGTCTCATTGAGTTGCTCAGCTCCTTGGTTTTGCTGAGGCTGGCTTTGAACTCGCAATCCTCCTGCCTCAGCCACCTGAGCACTGGGATTACAGGCACGCACCACTGTGCCTGACGCAAATGGTTTCTTGATGCTAAAGAAATGTATCCTTCCATTTGAATTACATTCTTAGGGGAAGTTCATATTCGTTTGTTAATGAGAAGATGGTAATACATGGTCAAGATAGAAAATTTGGAAATTATAAGCAAAACAAAAATTATAGGAGAAAATAAAAAGCCATCCATTTTCCCATCAGTCAGAGACAGGAATTTTATGTTCTTTTTTATACATTTGACCTAGTTGAAATTATATTTTTTAAGTATGTTTTTCTCTACTGCTTTTATTTTTAAAATTGAAATGTAATTCATCTAAAATTTTTCACAAATAAACTCACCTTTTGCCAGGCATGTTGGCACACATTTGTACTCCCAGCAACTCAGGAGTCTGAGGCAGGAGGATTGCAAGTTCAAGGCAAGCCTCAGCAACTTAGTAAGATTCTGTCTCAAAATAAAAAAGCAAAATGTTTGGGGATAAAGCTCAGTGGCAGAGTGACCTGGGTTCAATCCCATATTGGAAGAAAAACAAAAAAGAAACCCACCTTCTTAATAATTCAGATAGGGTCTCATATAGTATTGCCCAGGCTAGCCCCAAACTCCTGTGCCCAAGTGTTCCTTCCATCTCAGCCTCCTGAGTAGCTGAGACTACAGATGGCTACCGCTGTACCCCCAAACTCACTATTTAAAATTGACATTCAGTGAGTTTTAGCAGATTCATCAGGCTATGCCACTATTTCAACTGTTTAATTCCAGGACATTTTAATTACCTCCAAAGGAAATCCCTCTTAGCAGTCACAGTTCCTTCTTTCCCCCAACCCTACACAACTGTTATTCTAGTTTTTGCTTTTATGGATGCCTATTCTGTATATTTCACATAAATACAATCATACAGTATGTGATCTTTGCACCTGGTTTCCTTC